TTTTTTAAGTTTCATATTTAAAATTTAGTTTATTTAGTTTTTGATACTTATGTATATTTAAAAATGTAATGCTCTATATCTCTTATTGTTTTTGGATTTTTTTTCTAGTTATATGTAGTTTTATATTCTTATTTTATTTATTTTTAATACTTAATTCAATAAAGCTAATGCTACTACACTTTTAGATTTCATATTCACTTTCTATTATTTTTATTTTTAGAATTAATTTTTTATTTATATATATTTGTGTTGATATTTATTTAGGAGATACATATTTTAATTTACGGACTTTATTTGATTTTTGAACAATACTAATATTTACAAACTTAACACTACTATTTTCACTTATAGCCTATTTCCACCAAAGGCTGAACTGCATTTAAGGGCTCAGATAAGTACCAAATATTTTAACATGGCATTGGTAATGGTTATTTCTTACATTTTGCTTTTCTACTTCCATTTTCTTGTACTAAATATGAGCAATTACCCCGTTCGAGTGATAATCTCGTTTTTCCAATAGGTATAAACTGCAGTTAAGGCTTGGTGGAAATGTCTTATTAGGGCGTTTACTTATCTTTTTTAAAGTATGGTTAAATCATAATTTAAGCTTAACTACAAAAAGTTCTGTAGAAACCTAACTAAATGTACTTTAAAATAGATAAGTTAGGAGCCCTTATATTATATTTTTTGTATAAAATATTTTAGAGTTGTAATATTTACGTGTGTTAATTATATTGCAATCTTTTTCAAGTTTTATTTATGTTATATTAATACTATATTATTAGTAATAGCATTTACAAACTTATACTACAACACATGTATTCGGGATTTGTTACAAATGCCTTTGTATTCTGTATTTGAGATATTTATAGTTTTTGGCAGTTAATGCAGTTAATTCTTCGTTGCATTCTTCTTATTTGGCGCTGTAACCGCCTAAGCGATTTTGGCCGAGTTCAACAAAGCACGCCAGTCGTTTCTCTTCTGTGCCAACTGACGCCAATTGGAAATGACAAGTGAAGTCAAGTCCTTCTCCACCTTTCCATCGCAGTGGGGGCCTCCCTCTTCCTCTGCTACCACCAGCGGGTTCCGAGTTTAATACTTTCAGAGCTGGAGCGTCGGTGTCCATTCGAACGACATCCCCAAGCCAGCGGAGCCGCTCTATTTCAATTTGCTGCACTATGTCCATGTCGTTGTAAAACTACTAGAGGTCATCGTTCCATCGTCTGCGGTACCCTTTCGCAAAATAATTCTATCGAATATTCCAAGAGCCGCCTCATTGGATGTTGTTATTGAGTGACTTATAGAGTGTGGTTTTCGTAGGTCGAGAGAGGACTTTACTTCTGAATTGCCTACTCAGACCAAAGTAGCACTTGTTGTCAAGAGTGATTCTGCGTTGAATTTCCATGCTGACATTATTATCGGTGTTAATGCTGGTTCCCAAGTATACGAAATTCTCTACTTTCTCGAAATTATAACTGTCAACAGTGACGTGTGTGCCAAGGCGCGTATGTGCTGACTGTTTGTTTGATGCCAGGAGATACTTCCGTCTTGTCCTCGTTTACTACCAGACCCATTCGCTTTGCTTCCTTATCCAACTTGGAAAAGACAGAACAGACTTTACGGTTTTTTTTACCGATGATGTCGATGTCATCGGCATAAGCCAGCAATTGCACGCTCTTGTAGTATATTGTTCCTGAGCGGTTCATTTCTGCAGCTCTTATTATCTTCGTTGCATTTCTGTTAGACATTTTATTGCATTATTTATCAAAAACCATAAATACCTCAAATGCAGAATACAAGGGCATATACAACAAGTCCCGAATACCCCTAATAATGTACAATAAGTATTTATAAACTTAATACTATTATTTAAATAAATTTGCTCTAGTATATAAAACTAGATATTCTATCCTATTAATTAAAATAAATGTATTCATTATCCAGTCATTACAATAAATGTATTCAGTATCCGGTGCACATGTTACGTACATATCGTTACCTTAATTCACAAAGGCCCTAACCAACACTTTTTTCCAAATTGCGTTTTTCACAGATTTTGGTAGGATGTATTAAAATACACCTTCAATAAAAATTTCAACGTCTTAGTACCAAAAACAACGGATTTACTTGCTATTTTTTAAAAAGTCCTACCTGTTTTTGATACTATTTTTATAATGTTTTTTGCTTCTACTAATAAAGTAAAAATTAGTTGGTTAGGGCTTTTGTGAATTAAGATGACGAAATGTATATGTAGTATCAGGTATAAACATAATTCCATTTCATATTTAAAAGAAATGGTTGATACCTGACACCACAGATATGCATTTGCAATACTATATGCACCAGATTTTTAACACCCTTAATGCTTCTAAAAACTTAATGTTACTATTTACAGTTTCTTAGGTATACTTATTCTACACTATTACTTAAAGTTTTTTTATTGATATATTTTTTTTGATTATTTCTATTATGACTTAAAGTTATATATTTTCTCATTAAAGTGCGAACGTCCTCCTTCGATTTTTCTGGGAAAATATCTAATAAATTAGTTAATTGTTAGCAACTCGTAGATATTCTTTTTTCGGTGACATATACTACGTTTATACGTCACCTATTTGCAAACAAAAACAAATTGCAAATACCTAAGTCACTGTTTATTCGACGGTGAAAATTTCTTTTCCAATATTGATTGATTATAAAAACGCAAAAATATGACCATCGCAAAAGAAAATAATGCTAGAAATGGAACCGTTTTGATTATAAAAAGGCAATAAGATGGCCATCTAAAAATAAAATAAACCTAAGAATGGCAACGTCTTGCGCTTATTTGCAAATAGTACTACTAATCAATACTTATTAGCGTGACTTAGTTATTTGCAAATAATAAATTAACTCCGTTTATGCGGAAAGTTGACCATTTTGCGAATTGTTATTTGCAAATAATACGTGCGTATAAACGTAGTAATAGATACTAACCAAAGAGGAGCTCAGTCACTTTAAGTCCAACAAGTGGGAACTTGCCTGCCCTTCCCTCTAAATTAAAATTAGCCACGGTATCATCTTTGAACAAGCCACGCATAACTCCGTCAACTGTTCCTTTGGTGCCCTTTGCTCTTGCTAAAAGCCCAATCTGCATATGGGAGAAAGATTGTCATTTACAAATTAAATATACTTGTTTCAATATCATTATGTTACCATTGCGTCAGCGTAAGCTTTATTTTTTAAGCTTGGTTTCAACAGCCTGCACTTGCTCCACCGATGACATGGGAATCATAGTAGCTAAGTCGGTTGACTCCTCGCTTTCCATGTCACCGGTG